AAAGAGGAAATCAAAAGGTTAAAGACTCAGTTAGAACAGTTAACTTCTCAACAAGTTGCTCAAATTGAAGTTAAAGAGACTAAAAGATGACCTTGATTGAAAATAAAAAAGTAATTTAAAAAGAATTGAGGAAATGCTTTCCTCTTGTAAATTGAAATTTATTCCAATTATCAAAGAAAATGATAGTTATTTTCTTTTTAAAGATTTTGCTTTTTATTAGGTAATAATGCATCATCATGATGCTTTCTTTTTTTAACATTTATTATTTTTCTTTCTTCTTGATAAATTTCATAAGTAATCTTTTCTTTCCTTAGATAAGCTTCAAGTGCCTGAGCATCATTTATTTTGAAAATATAGGGTGCAATTTTTTCACCTTGTTCTTTTTTTAGAATACTTCTAATGGTGCTATAATTCTTGGGTTCCATGGTAGACCTAATGTAAATTAGCTTCATATTAACTATTTTTATATAGAAATAGTTCTATATATCACTAAGATAGTAAATGGGATATTAATTATGATCACATTACAAATGACTAAATTTTGATCCCTAAAATTCTTGGTTATACCAATGTTCACTTTGTCTGGTTTTGTTGCAGTATGCCCCATTTTATTTTTCTGATTTGTTTTTTCATTTTTTTTAAATTTACATTAACAACAATTATTTTTAATATTATCATTTATTTAATAAGCTTTCTACTCCCAATTGCTTTACCAGTATTTGAGACTTGAGATACTGGAATTAATTGGTCAAACAATTCCCTAGTTGGCTGTTTGTTGAGTTTTTTAGCCAACTAATATTAATAGTCTCCAGGTTTAAGACATCTGTATGCAAACAACTTAGTCTTTATATGATAGGCAAGATGATGGATTAATTCATTACAATTTTTTCTTAATAAATCTCAATTCAATAATAAAATTTAGTATGTTCATAGCAGAATTGGGAGTAATATATTGAAATCTTCAAGATCAAAACCATCATTGGATGAATTGTCATTGAAGATTAGAAAAATGGTTATAGGTAGGGGTTGTCAAATTTGCACACATTATTCTAGCTTCTTGGCTTTGAAGATACAAACAAATTTTCTAATTCTCAAATTAAATAACAGGGTTGAGCAAAAAGTAGATAGATTATTGGTACAACAATTGCCAGGAGATTTGATTGATTCCACCGGCAGAGATCATTGTCCCTGCCATGAGGATAACAATTGGGATTGCATAGGTTAAATCTGACACCTAAGCTCAACATGTTGGATTTAGTATTATTCATTTTATTTTTTTGGAAATAAAGTTTAGAAGACTCTGTGATATGTTTGAGATTCAACCAACTAAAACTTTTCCACCACCACATGGGTAATGTAAATTATTTATTTATTTATTAAAAAGGAATTACAGTATCAGATGCTCATATTGTTTAATTATACAAATCAGTCAACAAAGGTAAACTCGAACCAGTAATTTGATATGAATTAATGAAAACAGATGGCACAAGGGGAACTTGGGCCCTTTTCAAAAATTTTCCAAGAAACAGTAACAATGACAAAAAATATTAATAATTTTTGAAAAGAATGTAAGGAGTGGACCACTGCAAGAGGACATCTCAGAATTGCAAATAAATCATCTTGTTGTGCCCTTTAGAAAAGAAAATCTTATTTGCAAAAAAAGCAAGAGAATTATATAAAAGTATTTAACAAGTTGAATGATCCTGACAAACATACGCAAAAGTAGACAATAACCCAAAATTTGAGAACAGCTCAATACTTACCTAATCTATACTTTTGGACTAATTACCCAATTATCTTATTATTGTATGGAGGAAAAACAATCAGATTATATGATATATGCCCTGAAATCTGTCTCAGTATGCTACCCGAATAACAAAGATATTATTTTGATAAAATTTATAAAATATTAGTGCAATATTAGAAATTATAGTTTAATTTTTTCCTAAACCCTTATTAATTAAGGAATTAGGTTTTTTTTAATTTACTATCAACAATTATTGGTAAAGTAATAGAAAGTGCCAACATTCTCAAAAAATATTTTCTGCGCATCCCAAAATCCCATAATTGTTGTAATTGGAAAGAAATGGTCGTAAGGAAGGCTAAAAAAAAAATAAAAATAATATACGAGAGTTGTAATTCGTCATCCGATCTCGGCATAAGCTTAACCAGGTAATTATTTGGAAAAATTATTTTATTTTCTCCTTAAAAAATTGGTTAAACATAAAAAGAAAGATGAGGTCAAAATGACACTCTGGCATATATAATTAATTCATTTTAAAATAGATCTATATAAATATAAATATATATATATTTATATAAAAAAAGAATTTCTAAAAAAGGTATCAAAAATAAAATCCAAGGTATTTTAGTAAAGTTTTTTCATTATTTTCAAAAAATAAAAAATAAATGGCACAGAATTATAATGAATGTAGACAGTTTCTTGAGGAAACTTCAAGCATCGAAAATAGTATAAACACAATTCAAAGGAACGTTGAACGTATTCAAGTAATACAAACACGTATTCTAGTGAGTACTTCGGCACAAATGGAAGATGATGGCGTTCAAGAGCGTGAAGAGCTTACGTTGAATACAAAAAAAAATCTTTTTGAAACTAAAGATTGGATTAAAAAAATTGAATATGAAAATATCAAATTACCAATAAATGATCCAAACAACAGCATTAGAAAACAAAGGCTCGAGTTTCTCAAAGCAAAATTCACAAATGCGCTTGAAAATTTTCATAGTGTTGAAGATACTTATATGAGACAACGGAAAGAAAGAATGACACGTCAATACAGAGTTGTCAATCCAGAAGCATCTCAAGATGAAATTGACAATTATTTGAGCAATCCATCATGTCAGCCGCTTTGTCTAATTCGTACAAGCGAAGCTCGCGCAGTATTTACAGAAGTTCAAAAACGACATAGTGATATAAAACAGATTGAAAAAACAATTGAGGAATTAGCAATTTTGTTTCGTGAAGTGCAATTACAAGTGGAGGAACAAGATTCTGTGATTTTAAATGTAGAAGTACCTGTTGAAGAATCTCTTGCGAATACCAAACAAAGTAAATATTATTATACTATTTGATCAACCATGTCTGATGTGTAACTACTAAACCTTAAAAAAATTCGAATTTAAAAATTTTTTAGGTGAAATTTATATTGAAAAGGCGCATGAGAATGCAGTCCAAGCAAGAGGAAAGACGTGGATCTTTTTAGTAGTTATGATTATAATAGTTTCTATAATCATAATAACTATAATAGTACAGATATATGGGAAAGTAAATAGTACACAGATTTCTGACGCAAGTCCTTCTGACTTATTACCTCCTGATCCTTAATAAATCAAATTGTCACATTGCATGTTGTTTATATTGTATAATGATTGTAATAATTGATTTATTATTCTTGTTAACCATTTGACTGTATAAAATTTTCCTATTCTTCCTTTTATTTTTTTTTTATTTTTTTTTTTTTAAATAAATCCTTACGTTTCAAGCATTAAACTTCTTTTGCGATCTTGAGAGCAGACAGAATCTTCACTATCAAAGGAAAAAGACGGAGCCATTAACTTTGAGAATATTTGCATGCTTTGTTGTATTTTTAAGGTGTTTATGACTTGATCTTTGTCCTAGCCTTGAATTTCTTGTATAAAGGGTGTCGGAAGTTCATTGCATAGTAGATCGCTAATACTAAGCGAAAATTTATCACTAGACGCGTGTAATTTTTTAGCATAGTGAAGTTTGTTGTTACACTAAATATTTCTCCTGAACTTCACCAATATCTCTCTAAATTGGAGATCAAATTCAAATCCAATTCAAATCCAGTTTATCACTTTACTTTTTATTGCCAGAATGTTTACCATGTATTTGTTACATTGCACAATATAAAAAATTAGTGTAACATTTCGATTTCCACTATTACTATGCTTAATTTTTAAGGGATATGACGTTTTCTTTGGATAAAAATAGTTATTCTATTGATACCAACAAGTTTGGTCTGGTCATAAAGATGCTCCTCAATTAGTTGCGGTTGCAACATATGAAAATGGAATTGCGGCTAATTGCGGTTCCCATATTTAGTCTGGTCAATTCACTCATTGCATTAATAAAACACTAAATATGGCTACACCAATGAATTATATCACTTCCTTGGTAAAAAGTTTATTTTTAAACCAATTGTACTACACAAAAAACCTCTAATAAATCATTGTTCCGAAATAGTTAAAGAACTAGTTTTTTCCCGGTTTATTTTTGTAACCAGATCCAAACCTGCGTATATTAATTATAAAAATTCTTTTTTTCGAGTTCCAACTATGATTTTTTTCTCCTAAATACTAATAACAATTATCGATTGATAAATTGTTTCTTTTATTAGCAGAGAGAGATTAATCCCATGTCTCCATATAGTTAAAGCACATAAATTTTAGTTCACAAAAGTTATATTTATTCTTGTATGATTAATAAGCGTCTTAAAATAAAAAATCGTATTTTAGTAATGATAAAACCAAATAAAAAAAAGTGTGTGTAATATGTACAAAGCTACCAACGAAAGGGTGTATTATTAATATCCACTTTGTCTGGTTTTGTTACAAGTTGCTCCAGTTAGTAAAGGGATTTCTTTCCCTTGTGTAGTAAAAGATGTAACCAGTAATCTCTTGATTATTTAAAAAAAGGCACTTGTTATAAAATATATTATGGAAAAACTGTCGATTTTCACCTTTAATTGGAGATCAAAAATCTGGATGTTCGTTCGGCTGTTTGGATCTTAACTAAAAAAATGCATTTTTTATACATTTCTCCCTCACCTGGAGATTAATATCAAAGGTTAGGAATTAGAAGTTGTTAGATATTATTATTCTTGAAGTTTAATAAAGATCTGCAAAATTCCATATTAATACAACAGACCCCTATTCTTGATACCGATCGATGATGATGACGATATTTGAATTTGAACAATTAAACAAAGGGGATATTTTTATTTATTATATTAATTAAAGTGATTCCAAACGATATAAGGAATCGTTCATTTCAATGCAAGAATCAAGGAAGAGACAACAATTGCAACATATTTGGAATAGTCCAAGATTAGAATATCAAAAGAAATTAGTATACGAATATGCATATGAAAAATGTATTTAATATTGAAGGGCAACGGTATCAAAAACAACAAATACAAGATTTATTTATAAAAAAAGTCGCCATTCGTCTTTCAAAAGCATTTTGTAAAAAAAATTCCAAATTAGTTCTTGAACTTGAGTTTGTTAGATCAGTAATAAAAAACATCAGGAAAATAAATCTTACGTAAACCTACATAGGGTTCAGAATTGGCCAGCATTATGTCGATATTTTGGTAATTCTGTTAACATTTCCGCATAATGCTGGTCAGTTTTAAATCCTGCGTAGTTTACGTGAGATTTATTTTTCTGATGAAGATGTTAATTTGTGGAATGCAAATACAAGAGAGATTAGATGACTTTTCTAATAATAATGATGGTAACAATAGAAATTACGATTGAAAATATATTTCCAGTCTTCATTGGAGATCAGTTAACTGTTGGATTGAGCAATGGCGATACCAAATATGGGATATGTTGAGTGTAGAGACGGGCAGATCAGTACTATACGTATTAGTATAGTGCGTATAGTTCTAGAAATATATAGTAATAGTAGTAAATGTAAATCAATTCCTGTTTAGGTTATTGCCAAATAATAGATGTGATGTTACACATAAAAATTAATTGATACTCTTCTCACGATAAATATATATTTTAAACTTGCCTGCAATTTGGCAACATTTTAATATTAACGTTCTAGTTCAATATCTAGATGTGAAAAACATTTACGTCTTTGTCCAAATGCCACAATTCAAATTAAAAGAAATTATTTTGGAGAACATTTTAATACTTCAAATACTTGGTGTACAGGTAAATTACAACATAATTGAAGATTTCATCAAAGAAGCTGATGAAAATTTTATTGAAGAATCAAATAAAAATGAAAGAAGTTTTGATTTTTATGATATTTAATTCATTCAATATAATTAATGATTCATAAATAAAAACCTAAAAAAGTGTAGGTTGAATAAATTAAAGATTTATGCTTATCGTAATAGCCAAATTATTTTTTTTTTCTTATTATTATTCAGTTTTGTATTACATTGGAAAATCACCCAATCAAATTTCAACACTACTATACGTACTATACGTACTATACGCACTATACGTAAAGTATCGTATAGTGTCGTAGTGTTCAACTATACGCCATTTGCCCATCTCTAGTTGAGTGTATAAAAGATTAGAATTAATGAGTAGAAATACAGTCGAACCCTCGTTTCAACGGATTTTTGGTTTTACCCCTTGATTTTATTAATATTAATTAAAAAATTCTCGTTTCAATAATAATGCTATTGACGAGATACGGAAACGTTTGTGTTATCAAAATTGCAAAAATGAATTTACTTCTTAAAATGTAACCATTACCAATTACTTTTTTTATTATCGTCATATAATATATATTAATACAAAATTAGAAACTTTCAAACACTATTAATTTTATTAATTTGGTATCGGATGCACGTAGCAACGACAATACGTATTCATTTCACCAATTTTATTCTATACAACACATTAGAACTTTCTCTCGCGCAAGGAAAATCAATAGATCTTGGCAAAGCTTGTATGAACGCTTCCTGGATGGAATCAGAACAAGTAATTCCGAGAACAAAAGAAACGCTGTTTGCTACTTTTTTTACATTATTATTATTATTGCCTTATCAATGTTTTGAACAATTAATTGACAACACAATTAAATGGTAAAGGGATTAAAAATCTAAATCAAATAGGTTGGCTGACCTATATAAATGACCTGCAAGTTTTGTATATAGATAAAAATTGATTGATGATATTGTAGTAGATTTTGTTTTCCTTTAATTTCTATTATTTTCCAGGTACATTCGTTCTCATTACGTGTTTTTAAGAATCCGAGGGAATTGCAAAGCAGCCTTATATCTTTGCTAGTCATTCATTATATAGTCCCGTTACCAAGTGATACTAGACCGAGATCTATTACAAATTCACTGAATACATACATGTCTAATCTGGAACAGCAAAATTTCTGTATATATGTATATGCATGTATAAATAAAATTGAGTTTAACTATATATATATTAATATATAATTAAAATAAATTTTATAACGGAAGCAGGCAAATGATGCGTATTAATATTACACGAGACTCAAATTGTAGAAGATTTAAATTTTGCTTGTGTAATAAATAATAACGAAATATGATTGGATAGATTTATTTATTTTTGGGTAAATGATCGAGGAGAGATGACTGTATTTATAATAGGCTCGGTACCAAAAGATTATTAATTGAATAGAGAAAATGTCGTGACGAATTAATCAATGCAGAGAAAGTTCTTGATCCAGTCGATAGTGATGGTAAAGTGTTTCGTCGAAAGGAGTCATCAAGTCCTGATTGAATTTAGCAAGATTACCAGCCATCTTTGAATATCGTGGATTTTGTTGTGTAAAAAAAGAGCCTGATATGATCATTACGCAAAATTATTCGAATGGGTAGATGATCTGTCATCATATTAAGAAAGAAATACGTCTCTCTACATCAAAATAAAAAGACCAAAGGTTCGTTTTCTGTGCTAAATTTTGTTAATTTTACATTACAGAGCAAGTGAATGCTTCAAGCCTTTGAATCTCAATTTTTTTAAATTAAATTAAATGGTTAAACAATTTAATATTTTATTTTCAACTTTCTTAATGGTTTCTAAATCTGTCGTTAATGAACTGATGAAATATATTACGTTTCCTAACGGTCTACTAAATATTAGCAAACTATCATCATTATCATCATTATTAGTTTTTCTAAGTTTTTGTATTATTGATGATGCAATATTTGACGCGTACCCTATGTGAATCAAGAACAATAATAAATGAAGAAGAGAATAATCGAATTGAATATTTTAAATAAGATATATATTATATGTGAATATTTTAAAGAGTATTAAATATTTCCTACCGCTCTCCTTGTCTTTTAATTCAATTGATAACAATGTTCCTAATGCAAATGTGCCCTCAACAGTTGGTAAACATGATATTTTCTCGACAGTCTAAATCAATAACAATAAATAACAACAACATAATGCATTATTATCATCATAATTATTTCAGAAATGAAGTATAAATTCAAACAAAATCAATGCTTTACTTCTTTATTCCAAAGACTCCATCCATTTATCAATTTGTTACTATTGTTATAATTATGATTACTATCAAAACTCCATTCTGTTTTTCTTTGTTTCCATGATTCATTATCACTCTCT